AAAACCACGGGATCCATTGACAGGCTGCAGTAATTGTAATCAGTCGCTGATCTTTCACCACCGTTGGTGGAACATACTAAAATATTCCGACAGGACTTCAGCATTCGCAACATCACTTCTTTCCAAAATTAGTGAATTTTCGTGTGTAAAATGTGACGAGATCTCGTCACTTCAATGAGTTCCCTTCAACATATAAGAGAAACCCTTTTGAACTTGTTTCACAATTCCCGACCCATTGTTTTCATACTGAAGTCTAAACTTACTGATCAACACTTTGCACGCGTCCCTAGTTTTACAATGAGTGAATCTGTCCTATTCAGAGCCTGTAGACATAAATATATCCCGATATTTTTTCTTGTTAACCTCACTGGTTATTTATGATGGTCAGTTGTTATGTCTACATGATACTAAGTACAACACAGTTGGAGAGGTAATTAGGCTGTATACTTTCAAATATACACCATAGTTCTTTATTTGGTGATCTAGTATTACAGACCAATCCGTTACCACAGTTCACTTCCTCACGGCTGATACGTTTGCATCCCACACATTCGGGTGATGTGTAACCTCATCATATATTATGTCACAAGCACTAAACACGGATGAAAAATAGCATAATGGCTATTAGCCTGCTGCGGGTGAGTAATTAGACAAGTGGTATATTCAGTCTCATGGATAACTATTAGCTGTGACATAAAAGGTCATTGGTTAGAGCTAAAATGCGTTATTTCGTGTTCATGATGTACTAAGGTATGCTCCATTACAGTCGATAGAAGCCAACTGAGAATGTTTTCAGATTCAGATTTGTGTAATAAGGACAGTATGTTTCTGTGAGTGTCCAGTCTTCTCTTGAAAGAGTCAATTGAAGGTGCGGACACCACTGCTTCAGGCAGCAGGTTCCAAGTATTGATGACGCTGTGTGAAAACCTGTACGCCACGGGTATTTTGTTCATTCTTGGCTTTTCTACTCGCCTGCTATGTCCTCTTAGGTGTTCCGATCTATTGGGAAGAAAGAGAGAGAATAAGTTAGGTCCGAAATCATTTCTCAGTATTCTGTACATCAAAATTAGATCTCCCCTTTGTCTGCGATAGGACAGAGTGAAGAGATCCAGTTTTTCAAGCCGCTCTTTGTATGATAAACCCCGGAGTTCCGGAATTGCACGGGTAGCTGCCCTCTGTACTTTTTCTAGTATGTCCGAGACACCTTCTAAACAGGGGCTTGCAGCCTGAGCGCAGTTCTGTAGACTAGTTTTCACTAAGGATGTGTATACTGTGGTGAACATGGTAGTATCTAACTTAGTGAATGTCCTTTTTAAAGCTCAGATGGTTCGAAACCCCTTGGCTGCTACCTCCCGGCAACGGACCGTCGTCTTAAGATTACTACTCACTGTCATCCCTAGATCCTTATGAAACCGGACTACTGGTAATGACACATCCCCTATGTTGTACTTATTAACCTTTGAATCCCTCAAGTGCATTTAGACACACTTTTCCGCGTTGATAGGCATCAGCCACTCTTTAGACCAGTTTATCATATTATTTAATTCTGCCTGAAAAGTAAATGCGTCTTTGTCTCCAGTTATTACTCGCCAAATTTTTACATCGTCAGTGTATAATAACATTGGAGACTGTACTATACTTGTAAGATCATTAACGTACATTATAAAAAGTAAAGGACCTAGGATAAAACCTTGGGGTTCTACACTAAGTACTGGTCTCCAGATGCAGCACTTATAATTCATTATTACTTTTTGTCTACAACCTACTTGGAAATCCTTAATCCATTTTAAAAGAGGTTCGGTAATGCCAAGGTTTTCCAACTTCAATAGCAGTCTATTAGTTGGCACCTTGTCAAAAGCCTTGCTGAAATCTATGTAGATAACATTCACCGAGTTTCCGTTGTCTAGCGCATTAATCCAGAACTCCCTAGCTATAAAGAGGTTCGTTGTACAGGATAGACCCTTTCTAAAACCATGTTATGCCATGTTCATCAAGTTATTTGTTTCCATAAATACCGTTATGGTCCGTTTGATTATTCTTTCCAGTATTTTAATTACAACACTGGTGAGGCTTACGGGTCTGTAATTCGATAGAACTTGTCGTGGACCTGTTTTATGTATGGGAGTGACGATTGCGTCCTTCCAGTCCATAAATAACACACCTTGGTCAAGTGACATATTGAATATCACAGTCAGTGGGGCGCGATATATTGGGGAATATGTCTCAAGATTTTGGGGTGTAGTTCATCTGGTCCTGTTGACTTCTCCACATTTGGGGTGCTAAGAGCCTTAAGCACATCATTTTGGTCGAAGTCCATGGTGAGCAGCTGGTTTGTTGACTCTGTATTTGGGTCTGGTTCTTTCTCTAGAGGAGGTTCCTGAGTGAAAACTGCCCCAAAATAGTCAGCCATAGCTTCTGCTTTTTCCTGATCTTCCTCTATCATTTCAGATTCACTTCCTACTTTAATTAGGTTGGGAATCCAATGATGAATCCTTGTTCTGTAGTTTATGTACGAAAATATTCTCTTGGGCTGCTTGAGTACACATTGTGCCAGCTGCATTTCATATTTTCTTCGAGCTTACAGAATTTTCGTTATACACTCGTTTCTTAACGATCTGTAGTGTTCCATCGTACCTGCTGTGTCAAGGCGGATGGAAGCGTCCCAGCATTTCTTCTATTGTCTCAGGAAACGTCAAATATCCCGCCCTACCCAGGGAGCTCCGTACTTCTTTTTCTTTGGGATAGTCCAGGGTAAGTATGGTTGAGTTACCCGATTGTATAGCTGCCTGAATAGAGTCCATGCCTCTTATACTGATGCCTTTGAGTCAATTTCCCAGTTTTCAGCCGATGCTGAGGAGTTAATTGCCTGCATATGTTGGGACGGGCCGGTGCAACTGTTTGACAGGCAATCTCAGCCATGAATTTGAATAAGATGACCGCATGGTCACTTCTCCCAAGTAGTGGGAGAAAAGCCGTTTGACCAACATCATCGCCGCTTGTGAAGACTAAATCTAAAAGAGAGGAAGAGTTTCTTAAGTCGTATCTTGTGGGATCTCTAATGTGTTGGGATAATCCTAATCCAATCGAGGTTTCTAACAGTTTGCAGTCGAACGACGATATGGATGACCCTACTTCTAAGTTAACCCAGTTTATATATGGTGCGTTAAAGTCGCCTACTACAAGGCTTTTACCGTTGTTACACCAGAACTTAAGTTTACTTAGAAGAAAATCATCTGCTACACATTCTGGACTGCGATATAATACAACTAATTCAATATTTTGCCGTCGGCATTTCAATTTACATCTCACCAGTTCACATGTCCCTCAACCATGTGCTACTGTCTCAGCTAATCTTATGGTTAGGGTACTTTTCGTGTACAGAATAACCCCGCCTCCCCTTCGGTTTAATCTATCGGCCCTACTGGTTATGAAACCAGTCAGCTGGATTTCACTATCTAATACGTCTGACGTTAACCAAGTTTCCGAGGCAGCAATGATGTCCGGTTTTTCTTTATCCACCACTGACTTGAGCTCTGCAATTTTATTGAGTAGGCTGCGAGCATTTGTGTAGCATACCTTTAAGTCTAGGGAGAGCTTTTCTTTGCCACCCAGAGTGGCTTGGGGACCGTTTTGCTCCGAACTTTTACAATTTGAAAACCCTTAAGAACAAGGTTTCTTTCACCGTTTTGTCTACGCTCATTTATTTCCGCTTCTGCAGCTCGTCTCTTAATACGGTCAGCTAGGCTGAGATCCTCACGGAAATATATTCCGGATCCGCTCAGTTTACGTGAATTACTTAGAATCAGGTTCCTTTCTTCCACCGTGTTGAATGTAACCATCAGGAGGCGATTTTTCGGAGGACTTTCAGAATCCACCTTTTTTCCTACTCTATAAAGCTTACAAATACTGACTCCTGAAACTGTATTTGGGAGTAGTTAACTTAATGAAGTCTTAATATGATTGAGATCGTGGTTCTGTATCTGAAGATTCTCTTATCTTATGAAAAATGACTGATCTCTCAGAAAGATCTGTCTTGTCACCAAAAGAGAATTTTTCTTCTGATAACATCCCTTCCAATGCCTTGCTGACCAGCAGCGTTTCGCTCACAGTCTTTTTCTTCCCATTTCTCTTTCTCCTTACTGAAGTCCATTTGTTACCACTCAGGACAGCCACACCTGGACTACGTGGAACGGTGACAGTTTTATCCGGATCTTCTATTTCGAATAGAGGTGTATGACTGCCGATGTCAATATACTTCCTCGTTAATGTCAAAGGAGACTTAACGTTCCCGTCAACCACAGTCAGGTGTTTAACGGGTCCAGTAGCAGCACTTACTACACTGACACATTCTTCACCGTCAGGGCTCTTGTTATGAGTGCTTCCGCCGTCGTTTTTCTTGCAGTCCAAAGCCAATAGGCACATAGCCTCCTGAATTAGTACCGTTTTATCCGTACAGCAGAACATACAAAGCCAATGCGAGTTAGGCTTCAAGCATCTTTTGTAAGCCGCCGGAATTAGGCATGTACACATTTTGTGGTACCACTTTTTACAATCGTCACATTGAATTCCCTCCTCCACGGGAACAAACAATTTGATTGCCCACATTTGTGAGTCTTATCAACCATTGTAATTCGATTCAAAATGTTTAAAAAACACAAAATGATCACAATACGAAGACAAGCGGTAGTCAGGAGTAAAAAAAGGTACCCAGGACAAAATTTAGCAAAGAATTTCAAGCTTTAACCAAAGTAATTTTAGTTAAAGTAGACCAAGAATGCTTTTTGGTTCAATAAGTACCCAAAGCAAGTATAATCACAATAAGTACACTAATCACTTCCCTTTTTGAAACGAGCGCAGTAGCGGTAATGTGCGAAAAACCACAGGGGTTCTAGCCTATTTTTCTAACCAAGCCGAAACTAAAGTTTTATCACTCCAGGTTTCTGGAGAATCATAGAAAGAACTAATATTGTCTAGCAGAATTTGACATCTGAATAGTAGAACGCGTATGATTGGTTTGGACGGTACCTTCAGCTTTCAGCAAAACAAACAGAAGGTCAGTTGGGTCGTGTTAGTCTCTAGTGCATATTTTGCATCGATCATTTCATTTCTCTTCACAAGCGTTCACCAATAAAAATTCGATCCAAAATCTGAATCCTTTTTTTGAGATCCTTGAATTACGCATTTTAAACTTAGGTTCCGTTGGTGTAACTACGAGATGTTTCTCCCTTAAGGAGACATTTAAGAGGAAATCTACCCCTCTGGCAGGTGGCAAAGAACATTTTGAGGCATCTCCCTCTCATTTACACTTGTTTAGGGATTTTCGCCCTTATTTCTTCATGTCTACTTTTATTTACACTTTTCTGCTTGGGTTCTTTGTGATCCTTTCGAAGATGATTAGTCCTCAAGTAAGCAGGACGGTAAAATTTCTGCACTCTGGTCGTTATTCAGGAAACGGGATATTTTAAGGACCCTTCTCGTTCTACGATAAGATGGAGGAATGCATATTTAATGATTGTAGTCGCACCACATATGAGGGGTTTAGTTCTTTTGCTGACTTAGTACATACCCTTTGGAAAAATTTGATAGAATATAAATCTTCGATTGTACATAGTCAACCCATTTAAATACAATAGATGTATTGCAGAACGGGGGATAAACTTGGAGTGTTTCTTTATAGTACGTAAATATTCAGTCGTTTATCTAATTATTTATTTATTTATTTGAACACATAAATATTGGTACAAGAGAGCGCCAATATATATTCGCCACACCGTTCGGGGGCCGTTTATCTAAACAGTGATTTGTATGTGCTACCCTAAGTACTATTAAATCCTAGGGCAATCCATCTATAGCATGGTACTTTAGTACTTTCAGTCTAAATAACTCAAAACTACAAGATCGATTGTGTGGGATTTAACGAAAATAATTTGTGTTGTAGAGAAAGAATACAATTCAACAAAGAAGGTGTTCTTTTAGACGACACCATTTACTCAGGCTGTAAAATAATACTTGTAGTTAATTTACAAACAAGACAGTCTGTCGAAGGATGGGGAGACGATTTCGTTATTTCGTGTGTCAAAGAAAGTTGCTTATTAATCGAGAATCGAATAAAGATAATAGGACGGAGTCAAACGTGAGGAGGTTAATTGTCCACTTGGCGGGTATGAAAAGGGTGAAGAATAAATTTTAAAAAAACTTGATGATAATAGCTAGTAATTAGAATTAAAATTTAAAACATTAGAAGGATGTGACAAAATCGCCCATGAAAACTCCGAGTTAGGGCCATTAGGAAGATGATGGTTTGGACGTCTTTTGCACACAGAGTTCAGGTTTTGGATACTGGACTGTCAGTGTCTATGGAGTGCATAAGTTATTGATTATATATACATATTGATGTAGCCTAATGCGAACGTTTGTTCTTGACACACTTAAAAATGATGAGGCCGCTGGAAAAGTTTTCTTCAAGGATTTTATCAGACGATTCCTCAGAATTTCTGCAGGAATATCTCCCTTGGGTTCAATGTTCACGAAGAGAGTATGAAGTTTCGTAGATTATAATTTAGGGTTCGCGTTACTCTCAATAAATCTGGATAGATAACCGTCCTTTGGGAATTTCTGTCGAGGGTGAGACAGTTCCTCATCTATTGTATCTTCTGAGTATATTCTCCTAGCTCCTTATTATAAAGATTGGATTAAGTTTCTCCTCCTACTTAAAGGGACCCAGCTGTGAATATTCGTTAATTGTTCGTTCCAAGCTGGTTTTCGGTATATAGACCTTTGCAATATACTATCTTGTTTTCTATTCTATAGGACATCTAGAAAATGAAATTTTGTGTTTGATTCTGATTCCAGTGTAAATTTGATGGATTTATGAAAGCCATTTAACATATCCAGGTTGATATTTAGGTCACTTTTTACTGCAAATAATAGTGTCATCCATAAACCTTCTGTACAAGTATTAGCTGTCAATCGTCGGTTGGATTACCGTGTTCTCAAGATTGACCATGAAACAACCCGTTTGAGGAGGGTCGAGTAATGAACCTATGGGGATCCCATCAGTTTGTCTGTAGAACTCATTATTAAATCTAAACTGAGCGTTAAAGGTACATTGTAGGAGTGATTCCTTTAGGTGCCCCTTCCAACCAAACTTGGTGATGCTGCTAGGCCCTTCTGGAGAAGAGGTATATATAGAGGCACGGCACAACTCTTTTGGGCAGTGCTCTGGAAAATCAGTATCAAGGTTTTTGTTTCCAATATGATCACATACGACTCATATAGTCTCCATTAAAGGCATATCAGTGGAAAGTGAGACCAAATCTAATGATATCATTCTCATTGTGGTTACGTTGAGGTTAGAATAGGATTTATGTTTTAGTCCTATATGATCTCAAATCCTAAGTTAAATGTGGCGAAACTGCTTTCAAACCAAATTCTCTACAGTTGCTATGATGCGCACTACCAGCCAGTTTGATATAGTGTCATTTCACCTACTTTTCACTGGCTTAATTGGGATTCACTTAGAGTACGAAATGATGATTATTTTTCCTTTCACTTCTAAAGATTATAAGAACTTTAGTGGGTATCTAAAAGCAAGTTACAAAATCAGTTTATGGTCATAATTTAGAAATCTGCGTTCTGCACATGCATTCATTAAATGTATCTCCTTCAGATTACTGGAAACTTAAAAGCTACCAGCACTTCACATCTTTGGTCATCTAAAAGTCAGACACTCTAAGCGTTACCTCTAAAAGAATGTCTACAAGGAAGCTAAATAAAAATGAACAAAGCAGACAATCCAGGCAAACACCGCTTAGCTTGACCAATAGTCTTCGAGTAGAGGACCTTTTCAAGATTGGTAGACCTTTAACTGACAGATATTGAAATAAAACCTGTCGATCTACAGGGTCGAATGCTTTTTTAGGGGAGCCGGTTGGTTTGTTTTTGTTTCATAACCTGGCGAAGGGCAGGTATCTGAAACCAGACTGGTTCTCTCAAATTCGCTCTCCACAAGTCCTAATTAAGCGTCAGGTGATTATCGAAGTTAGTATTTGCCGACGCTGGGACTGGTTGGAAAAAGCGGAGAGTTGGTCAGTGTATGGCATGGTGTCGTAGTATAAAAGAAAGCTGCAAGGGGCTGACTTCTGTTGTTCCTTCACAACTTCCTGGCTGGGGTCCGAAGGATGGTGCAACACAGTGGCTAGAGACGTTATCAGATATGGCTCAGAATAGAAGCCAGTGATGATCCTGCTGTAACCTTCTTTTACTTTCTTCATAAAAAGTGGTTGTATCTTCCTTAACTGAAAGACTTCTTCTGGTTGTACCTTTCCGTTTCCCCCATTCTTCTTCTTCTTCTTCTTCTTCTTATTATTATTATTATTATTATTATTATTATTATTACACTACCTTGCACTAATCTGGTCGTTATTGTTCTTCTCTTTTTCTTTTACGCTCCTTACCTTCTTTTTTCTCTTTCCGTTCTCATTGTTTTGTGTGGTGCATGTTTTTTGAGATGGTGGAGAAGATTTGTAGCTCAGGTGGATGATTTTGGTGGATATATATATATATATATATATATATATATATATATATATATATATATATATATATATATATATTTGGTGCCCTCCTGTACCAATATTTATGTTCAAATAAATGATAATAAATAAATAAACAGCAATCCACTGATGTTTTTTAATTTTTTGGTTATGGTCAGTCGTATCACTTCTGTTTTTACAACAGTCTGTGTATCATACCAATCCATATCGAGGTGAACGTCACTTTGACGATTACCTAATTGCCTATCTAGTTGTTCTTGAAATATAATCTTGAGATTTTAGTTGTTAAGCTGAACTACAAATGATCTTCCTATCTCTTTTTTTCTACATTCCTTAATACTCAGACAAACATGTGATCCCACTCAGAGATAATTAGAGTTTCAACATGTACTCTAGAATCAACAACCGTCTTTTGTCGGTCTTCTCCAATAGTAGTCGATAAAAATAGGATTTATTTACGTCCACCGTCGAGTCGATTTTGGGGGTCGTCATGTTGGACGATATCTCTATTCATGCTTAAAGTTGGTACTTACTAAAAATAAACGGTTGTCCCTGTGTAGTTGCAGCAAACATTTTCCACTGTCTGTTCGATCAGTTAAGGTACTGTGAGACTCACTTAGGTGTTTTTCACTTTGTTCCCGATCACTACCTACTTGAATATTGAAATCCTCCACACCGGTTATGACGTCTGAACTTTTGACCGTATGAAAATAGATAGCTTTCTGTCACAAATCTATGTCGATCCAAGTTAGAAGCATAGAAGATAATGATATTAGTTGTAGTGAAAAGTCAAAAGTAGAGAATGAAATCTGAAAGGGACCAATGATATCGTAAGATAAAAAGCACAAAATAACAGCCCAAAATTTAAAGGAATGTGATGATCGAACCCAATTCAGATAGCAATAAATCGGTAATAGGTTAAGAATGGGCAAACCATATCATATTAGTTAGTAAAATTCTTGATTTTTCGATCGGGTTATGCTGATATATATATAGTGCTTATCTTACTTATTTTGTTTACAGTTTTCATAGTTGACAATTACACGTACAAGTATATTCTTCGATACAATACTTTCCAATATGTCATACGGTAAACGTGGAGGTAGATGGGGTATGAATTTCATATCTGGCTCGGGTCCCCAACATAGTTTGTCAACGCATTCTGTATTCAAGGATGAAAAATCTGATGTAAATAGACAATCTGACGATTACAAAAATACAAAGCCTTCAAACTTTATTAGAACCGGAGGTGCATCTGTCCCACCACCGCCATCTCTTGGTTCTCGTAATAGTAGAGGTTATTCAGATCCCAACGAAGTCCTAATAAATCACAGTGCATTCGCCGGGACACAGGGAGGTTCAACACGGGCTTTTGCTAATTTAGGTCGCAAAAGAGTAGCAGACGAGGATGAGTGAGTTTTGTGTTTTAATAATTGCACGTATTTTATTGCACCAAACAAACCCTGCATCCAGATCCACCAGTCTGGGTTACTAGGATTCTATTTTGTTACTCAACAATATATAGACCTATAAGTCTTCAACACTTAATTTACATTGCAATTGCATTAGGATTTAATGGGACCAAGGATGCTAATTTGTAAGCTTAAACTTCTAACAATGAATTTAAAGGTAATTGATGCATATGTGGAGTTGAACGCGTGACTGTTGACCTGAAAGTTGATTGCGAAACTGCTCAATCAAACTGATTAGTGCTTAATTTCCCCAGTTGTGTATACTGTACGGAAGAATCAATGAGAAATTAAATATGCAATATTTTTGTTGGTTGTCTGTGCTACAACTTAATGTAATAAATGTCTAGTCGTATTCACTAGGTTATGGTACTGTATTCTTCAATCTAACTTAAAAGGATATTCCAAGCTTGTTGAAATTCATTAACTACCCATGTCTATAGTTATTACAATATAGGCTTGACCAGTATCCTTGTTGTCCGTTAAAAGTCAAGATTTATCGATTCTCCAAAATTATGGTAGTTAAGCAGTTCAGAGTTTTTTCCACAGATATGAGTGATAATGTCATAACCACTTTGTTTCTGGATCCTCAGATCAACCATAAATTCAACATATTTTCATACTTTACTGTAGAGCTTTGTGGTGATACTCGAAATAAACATAATAATGTTATAACTGTGAGACAGTAGCAGCAGATTAGAGGGTAGCGAATTATCGATCGGACCAAAGACGCGCAGACACGTAGAACGACCTAGGGTTCTGATTGGTCCCGCTTCCCTATCTAGCCCAGTAGTTGAGTCCAGAACGAAAGTCACAGCCTCGGATATATGAATCATTATATTTCAAACATACTTTGTTTATATACCAGTCAAACAAACCACATCATACCATAAAATAGAAAATAACATTATACAATATTGGCCAGTAGGAAAACGACACGTGAAATAAGTACTGACCAATAAGAAAATAACACCATGTTCAAGTCCAAGAATAGCATTAGGCTAAACAGGATAATTTCTGGGATATTTTCCTGAATATCCCAACACCTCCCCTTTTTTGGAGATCCGGAGTTGATATCCGGATTTTGGATTTCTTCGCGTCTATCCTCCCCCGCGGAATAATGTTGGGTCCTCGTATACCCAAGTTACAGTTAGTGTGACTCTATTTAAAGCATATTTCCCGCATTGAGTAGAGAGTCCACTAGAGCTGACTAGATGCTGAGGATCAGCGACAGTAGATATGAGGTCATTAGAGTTTGATTCTTGTGAAACATTCCCATTAGATCTCTTCGATATTCCATTAGTGGATAATACGTTACCAAAATAAACAGCATCTATCAAAATTGTATTAGATTTCTGACCATTGTTTGATGCATGTGACACATTCTCTGGCAAAACAAGAGAATCTTTTCGTGAGCTGGATATGCTACTGTCTGTACATGCTGTTTCGGGGATGATGGAGTTTGACTCCATTACCGGGCATGTTTCTGGAATAGAAAGTACTGGACCACCGGGCGCATCATGGACGACTGTTTCGTTTGAAGTACAGTTCATCGAGGATTCATGGAGGCTGTCATTTTCCAGCTCACTGTGAAACTCAGATATCAATCCGTCCACTTCCGTCGCATCTTCATAGCGTGACTGATTTAGCAGCTGCGTGCGGAATTTGACTAATAACTCCAAATGTCGTTCAAAGAGCAGCTGTAATGGATCGGAAGGGAGAGTCATTTTTTCGAATCAGCACCTGTGATGAAAATTACTGTGTGAATAATGACCAATGTCGTTCAAGGACAGTGACGACAATCTGGATGCTGATTGGTTGAATAATTAGACTGGATTTCGTCCAATTACAGAATGACTTTGGATTGTTGTTTTTTTCTTCACCCCGTCGCCAATTGTTATATCTGTGAGACAGTAGCAGTAGATTAAAGAGTAGCGATTTATCGATCGGACCAAAGACGCGCAGACACGTAGAACGACCTAGGGTTCTGATTGGTCCCGCTTCCCTATCTAGCCCAGTAGTTGAGTCCAGAACGAAAGTCACAGCCTCGGATATATGAATCATTATATTTCAAACATACTTTGTTTATATACCAGTCAAACAAACCACATCATACCATAAAATAGAAAATAACATTATACAATATTGGCCAGTAGGAAAACGACACGTGAAATAAGTACTGACCAATAAGAAAATAACACCATGTTCAAGTCCAAGAATAGCATTAGGCTAAACAGGATAATTTCTGGGATATTTTCCTGAATATCCCAACAAATAATCATTTTGTTATATCGTGCGTACCATCCTTTCTACTCTTACAAAACACGGGAAATCAGTTCAGAAAAGTAGATCTCATCAGTTTTTATGGAGTCCATATAACCGTCTATAGTTTAATAATAATTGAAAAATAGCATATAATTGCGATTACAATCAATAGCAGAAAAGATTACTCAGTAATTAAATCAGTCAGTCAGTAACAACGTAGAACTTTGTACGTACGTACATCAGTTCGAGTTGCCATACCACCTTAACACAGAGATGCAGTTGTCGATTCAAATCCCGTAGTGGTAGAGGTAATAAGAGTATAAGCAGTAATCGGTAATTAATACAGTCAGTCAGTCAGTCAGTCAGTAACAACGTAGAACTTAGTACGTACGTACATCAGTTCGAGTTGCCATACCACATTAGCACAGAGATGCAGTGGTCGATTCAAATCCCGTAGTGGTAGATGTAGCAAGAGTATAAGCAGTAATCGGGAAGATTAGGGTTTGGAGATGTTATTTAACGAGTATAATCCAGTGAAATAAATTTGGAAAGAGGAAAAAAAGGGGCATGAAGAATTCAGATAATTAGAATTTGGGAGAACATAGAGAGTGGATGCACCTGCGCCATTGCAAACGATTTTGAGCCATGTCATTCAGGGTCTCTAACCATCGGTTGCTATCATCTCGCGGTCCCCAACCACGTAGTCTACACCTACCAACATGACTCAGTCCACTTGTCAGTGACTTCATGGATTTGTGCCATGTTTTGGTCTGGCCGCCCCTAGCTTTCTTCCAACCTACTCCTATACCACTGAATATAGCACGTCGAGGTAGTCGGTGGTCAGGCATACGTAACACGTGTCCCAGCCATCTCAACTGATGAAGTTTCACTACTTCATCAATTGATTTGCCATCCTTACCTAGTACCCGTTTCCTAACAGTTGCGTTACTTACTCGGTGGTCCCATGATATACGAGCAATACTTCGAAGACACCTATGATCGAATACTAGTAACCTACGAATATCCTCTACTCTTACCGGCCATGTTTCACTTCCATAAAGTAGGACGGAACGAACTGCTGCGCAGTAAACACGTCCTTTGGTTGGTAGACGGATATCTCGCCTACGCCATAAATGACGCAAGTTGGCAAAAGCTAGTCGAGCCTTCTGTATCCGTGCTGAGATTTCGTCACACACCAGACCACAAGGGCTGATGAGACTTCCAAGATAAGTGAAGCGGTCGACACACTCAACTACTTCACTCCCTATCACTAGTTCGGGTGTCGATGTAACCCAATCCTGAAGCAACATTTTGCATTTCGAGGGAGAGAATCGCATCCCGAACATGCTTGCATTGTTGCTTAGAGTGGTCAGAAGACTCTGCATTTTGTCAGCGTCTTCACCAAATAAAACTATGTCATCTGCATATTCTAAGTCAACAAGTGAACCTCCCGGTAGAAGTTCAACCCCCGGAAATTTAGATGAGGAGAGTGTTATCTCTAAAAGTACGTCGACCACAAAGTTGAACAAGAATGGGGAGAGTGGACAGCCCTGACGAACACCACTTGAGGTAATCAATTCTGATGACAGTTCGCCATAAGCTCTCACTCTACCAGTTGTGTTCGAGTAGAGAGCCTGAATAAGGTTAATGTACTTCTTTGGTACTCCTTTCAGTGACAAACACTGCCATAGAACCCTACGATCAACAGAGTCGAATGCCGCCTTAAGGTCGAGAAATACTACCATTGTCGGGCGTCTAAACGTGTGTCTGTGTTCTAGAACCTGACGTAGTGTGAATATTTGGTCTATACAACCACGTCCAGGTCGAAAACCAGCCTGATTTTCTCGAGTCTGCTCTTCACGAGCTTTGATTAGGCGTCGAAGTATTATTGAAGCTAATATTTTAGACACTATATTAGTCAAACTGATTCCTCTGTGATTGTCACAAGAGGACTTTTGTCCTTTCTTATAAACTGGCACAATCAGTGATTGAGACCAGTCAGATGGGATTACGTCCAGTTCCCAAATTCTACCTAAGTCCTCGGTTAATCTCATTGCTAATACTGGACCACCATCCTTAAAAATCTCAGGAGTAAACCTGTCAGGGCCTGCTGCTCTCCTTCGTTTCAGATTTCCTATGGCTTTTTCAACTTCATAAAGAGACGGAGGACCTACATTAACTTGCCATTCAGGTTGACTGGAGATCGTGGGAAACCGAAGTGTGGCTGAAGGCCAGTTGAACTGATCCCTAAAGTGTTCTGCCCGTCGATCCAATCTCCTGGATTGAGAATGAATAATATGTCCATCTTTCTCTGAGATTTTTTCGCTAACGGTCGGGTTCCTAATTCCGGTTTCCTTAACGAGTCTAAACAATTGTCTGCTATTACCTATTGCCGTTGCCTTTTCCATCTCTCTTGCTTTCGCTACCCACCACTGTTCGCGATCATTGCGTAGACTTCTTGTTAGTTTGCGCTTAAGCTGACTCCGCTCTTCACTATGTTCAGAGCCAGGTGGAATGAGTTTCCGAGCATCTATCAGTGCGATAGATGCTGCTGAGATCCAGTGTTGCTCCCTAACCTTCTGGTTTACCTTACTAACAGATATCACTGCTGTTTCCACAGCTTTTCGGATATCATTCCATGCTGCCTCGGGATGGGCATCACATACATGGCTGCCTAACTGTTTTCCTAGTTGTTCCTGAAATATACTCTTAGCTTGACTATCATTAAGTAGGCCCCTAAGAGGTTTCCTTGCAGCGGTTTTCCTACGTCCAGTAAGAAGCAGGCAAATACGCGCTCGTACTAGAGCATGATCTGAATCTAGGCATGTGCTCCAGAATGAGCGACAGTCTTCTATCGAGCCCCTCCATCGGTGGCTGATAGCGATGTGATCTATTTGGGTCCAACGTTGGGACGAATTAGGGGGTCGCCATGTTAAAAGATGTTTTTCCTTATGCTTAAAGTTAGTATTTGCAAGGAACAGGCGATTATCTGAGCATAGCTGCAACAGACGGTCGCCATTATCTGTTCTTTGAGCCACTATACTATAAGATCCACCCAGGTGTCTTTCCCTATCGCTTAGTTTACCTACTTGAGCATTAAAGTCACCGGCCACTATTACTACATCCGAGCGCTTAGCTTTTCGGAGAAGGTCCGAAAGCTTTCTGTAAAACTCATCTTTTACATCATCTGAGCTGCAGTCAGTGGGAGAATAGGTAGAAACGACGAAGAGGCAACGACGAGTGTCCCTATCTTTCCGGATTCTTACTGTTCCGTTCAGTCGGACAGCGCACAAACGGCTGTCTACTGGGATCCACTCTAAGAGAGCTAGTTCTGCCCTAGGACTCAATGCTATACCTACGCCGGCGAGGCCACGGGAAGCAGAATCAGGGCTTCCAGATACACGAAGCGTAAATCGAGTCGGTTCTTTATTTTGGCATGGTGAGGTCAAATGAATGATGCTACTTGGATCCTGTATGCGCGTTTCGGAGACGCAACACACATCGATGGCGCGAGATTCTAAAGTCCTAGCTAAGGAAGTCTGCTGTCCTATTTGGCACAGTGTTCGGACGTTAAAAGCTCCTACGTGTAGTTTAGAGCGTGGTTTGAGGAGACCAGGAATAGAGTTCCACGTACTCGAATCGTTTGCCCTAGCGGTGCGAGGTGATAAAGGGACGTGAGGAGGGTTAGTCATGGAGATAAGAGAGGTATTAGGAGGTGTAGGAAGGATTTGAATGTGACCAACGTGGTCTCGCGTGCTATTACGGGTATGAGGGCTGCTGTCACTTCCCGGCTGCCCACACCGTGGAAGGGTATTTCTTGAGGAACCTGAAAAGGAAATTGGATTAGTGTTGGTCTTAACGACCTGGGAGCGTGACCGCAGAGCCCAAGGGACAACTGCTTGAGGCCGGTCGCGCACGGCCTTTTTGTAGAAGGTTTTTGACGTGTTAGCTCCGTTCTTCAGATGGCCTTACCGCCGGAGACGGAAATCCGTGAGGTAAGGTGAGGTGTGACATTTTTAGGGTCGACCTTTTCTAACCCCACCCCTCCTTGTGGGAAGGCAGCATCGCTGTCATGCTGATTGTCCGAAGGAATCACCTTACTGCTGTCACACGCCTCTACAGTCAGCAGTACGACTTCGCCCTCAGACTTTGAGTTGCTGCTTTTAGTCTTACCGTTCACCAATCGACCTGCCTGGCATGGTAGAACCTACAGGAACATATGTTCCAGCCAATATAGCTCGGATGGGTCATCACGATAGGCAAGCCCGACCACCACGTCAAGGTAGCAGCTTCGGTCGGGAAAAGTTGTGACGTGCAAGGACGGAGTTGGAAAAAATGAGTTAAGACTCATTGTATTGTGCCTCCCCACGGAAATCTTTAGTAAAAGGCGAAAGATTTATCCGCAAATGAGGAGACACCAGAGTTAATACAAGATTTTATTTTATGAGTTTTCATATTCATGTCTTGAATAAAAACTATTGATTGTACTTGGCTTCCTAAACCAAAAGGTAGGCGAAACAGGATTCGAATTTGCCGTTTAATGGTCATTTGACCATCGGGATTATTCAACTTCAAGAATAAAATCACCTAAGAAGATTTTACTGAGTCGCTTTCTGCTTTCTTATTTCTATGAGTCATTTCTATTAAGTTAAATAATCTGTTAGAAAATTTATATTTGCATTATGGTCTCATACATTGTTTGTTGTTTCGGGTATGTTTTCATTGTCAGTGTATCCTGTGCCACTAATTATGGTAATTATCTTTGAAAGTTGGGGTTTATTTGTATCCATGTTTTCTGGAAGAAGATCCCTTTCGTACAAACAGCTCATAAATTTGTGTACTACATAAACACTTGTAGATGGAGCCATTTTTTGTATGATGACTATGATGTCGTTAAAGGGTTTGTTATTTGGAACATGGTCCTTTTTTTCATTAACCAACCTATACATTCATGCTTTCTTGAAATCGTTTGATAAAATGGTTTATTCGACCTAATCATTGTCTATTTTTTGGAACCCCTCGAAATGTTAAGATAGTTTGGAGGCTTCATCGAATAGTACTGCTCGAGCAAGCAATCGTGAATGAAACTTCATTTTAAATGACAACCAGGATGTCATTGAAAAGTCTGTTCTTTACATTAACTCAGCTTATTAAGCTCTGCTATCTTAAAATGAGAATATTTTAACTTACAAGTGTTTTTCAACATATTCGTTATAACCACATTAACAGTCGTGTTTCTTTTTACTATCTAGTTACTTCTTAGAAGATGATGACACAAATAATTTAGAATACCAGCCTGCTCCAGGAAGTCCAGCTGCTACCAAACGTCCAGATCAAGCTGATGTGCAGTCAGATGATTCGGATGATCCTCTAGATCAGTTTATGGCTGGCATAAATGTAAATATTACGTTTATTTGGTTATTTCTATTTCTTTTTATATGTAAAATACTTATTCTATATCCTTAAACCTATTGGCTAATTTGAAAATAAGTCAGTCAGTGTATACCGCGAAAAAATGATCTAATCTTGTAAAGTAAAAGAACTTCTTAACAGTTTAGAGAAAAATATGAAAATGTTTATCGTGTTTGTCAAATTCATAATAACAATTTAAAGCCTAGAAAACATAGAGTGTATAAGTACAGTTCACTGATTATACAAATGTCTTTATTAGCACCGGCGTATGCAGTAGTACATCTAATTATGGGAGAAAGCTAACAGATTTCCTATGACTGTTCAAACCTTGGTAGTTCAAGTTGCCAACTAATTGAGTATCTCATTCACAGCTTTACTGTTTCGTGAATGATTTTTAATCTAAGTTTTTAATCCTCTTGAGTTTGCAACAGAATTTAGTAATGTCATTATTTACAATTGCCTATGAATTAAATCTCAGTAAACATATTAAAACCAAGTATCAATATATGTTAATCAACTTGAGTTAATACATTATATATTTTTTTGATTGAAATCATGAGTCAATTGAAGCTAGACCACCATGGAAAACCTGGAAGCATTGGATGGCCGTTTCGTCCCAGTATGGGACTCCTCAGCAGTGCGCGTCTATGGTGGTCTAGCTTCAATTGACTCATGATTTAAATCAAAAACTTAACAATCTCCAAAACACCTAAACTGACATTTTATATTGATACTGTAAAGCAAAAATCTATAAAAACGCAAACTAACAAATATGACAAAAGATTATCAATAGAAGGGACATAAAGTGAAAAAACCCTTGGTCTAAGTTTCATACTAGTTTTTTGTTGTTGTTATTTCTGTATGTTTGTATGCGCGCGCGTGCGTCAAAATCATCTGTTTTCTTATTCAACTATTCATATGTAAACTAGGAAGAGGTTAGAACACTTCATTCTGGCGAGAAATCTATGAATAAAGAGTCAAGTAGTAAGGCAAAGAAAAGTACCAAAGGTGATGGAAAGTAAGTGATTTATTATTATTTTTAGTTTTTTGAAGAAAAATATTTATTTTATTTGCATTTTCGTTATGCTTCTACTCAGATCTATCTATCGATGCACTTCTGTCTATGGTATACAACTCGATGTATGTACCCGCGTGTATGTGGTGAAGGGACTGCATCCATTTACGTCAAACCTTACAAGACAAAAGGTTAGAGAGAGAGGGAAAGAGTAAAACAATACATGATCTTATGCATTTCTTTTCTACAGTCAACCTTTTGGTTATTGAATAAGTGATATATCCTAACCATATTATAATTTATATTTCTTCCATGTGTAATATATTCGGCAATATTGATTTGTTATGTGTGATCTATATCTGATCATCTCAATGTGTTGAATTGTTTACTCTGTTCATTTATTTTGCCATTGCTTTCTCAGTGGTTCTTTAATATTCGACCAATGTTTCGTAAATGAAATCAGCTTGTGAAATCATTGACTTTGTCCAAGCTGTATTTCAAGAGGTCTAAACGTTCTTATCAGAGTTTGTGAGATAATCGTAATATTTATTTGGCGGCTTTAGGTCGTTCAACATAAATGCGCCTACCTCGAAGCACGTTAACTGGAGTACGAATAAGCTGAAAGAAAATTTAGGGACGATCAAACCAAGACATAAATCAGTTCATGAAATTTTCGACTATTGGACTAAACTTTTAATAAATGCAGACTACCTGATTAAGGTCTGATACAACAACTGTGATCAGTGATTAGAAACATCAGGATTGATATCAGTCAAAATAGGCCAAGATGATTCAAATGCATTCACTGATTGTCTTACTCTTGATCTTTTGTCCCAGTATTCCTTCATATATACCTTTTAATTTGATCTTTTCGAATCATATTATCAATGTTCAGTCTTAATTATTATCATCGCGCCTACATTATTAGTTATTCATGTTGTTGTATTGATGTCTCATGACAATCCACATTTGTGCCAGTTTTTATGTTGGTTGTAGTTGATTAATCAGAGTTTCCTATTTAATATTAATTAAATCATATGAACATCCATACTAAATAAATATGGTGGTTTGTTTGTTTTTATCGATTATTTTATTAGAGGTGTACGTGATGATATTGAACAAGAAGATGAAATTGAATCATATCTTAGATTTATGGAAGAAAATCCACATCTTGGATTACTTGGTGATGATGAAGAAGAAGTATATGAATATGACGCTGATGGAAATATTATCGGTACAGAGAAAAAGGTGAACAATTCAGGGATTTTTTTTCTAGTTTCTGTAACAACTATCACTGTGTTCTCTACATTTTCAAGATTTTAATTTTTTCTACGAATAAGTAATTGTAAACTGTCCTAGATTTGTGTAGTTGTTCAGTATATCAGTTTAAAGCTTAATGCTTCGTTATCTTGTCTTTTTTCATAAACTTTTAGGGAGAGAGGGTATCACTTGTAAACAAGCATTTTTTTAAGATAACTGTAACAGTCTGTTCTGGTTTAGTAGGTAATACAAATAATTAAACCCACTATATGTTCTCATGCTCAGGACTGTATGATTTATGAGATATGGTTTTCTGTCAACACCATTCAAGCAAGCCTAAACCTTGATACATGTAACAGGGTTCAAACTAACCAAGGGGTAGTAACAAATGGAAGTTGTGGGTTAGCTTTTTGGTTGACCAAACCGTAGTACACAGAATGGTAGCTCAAACATGCGACTTAATAGTTGAAAGTTGAATACTTCAATTGACTTGCTTTTGTTTATGAATCTAATAAATTTAACACAATTTTCCTTTCTATCCGTTTTGACTTTCAATTTCTGTTCACCCAATTAATTGGATCACGAGTCTTCATTAATTCCGTGTTTTCTTATACAAGACAATCTAAAAGTATCATAAGCCAATTGTATAATAATTACACAGTAAAAATAGATATAATAATTTTGAAGGTTTCACCTCTTTCATCTATCCACTTCTATCTAACAATACTTATCATATAACCTTTTTTGTACTTACTTTGTATATATAGACTATTGATCCATTACCTCCAATTGATCATTCCATGATAAATTATGCACCATTCGCTAAAAATTTCTATGTTGAACATGCAGAAATATCTAGTTTAGATGAAGCTGGTGTAGATTCACTTCGAGATAAACTTGGTTTACGTGTTAGTGGACCTAGTCCATTACGACCTGTTTGTTCATTTGCTCATCTTGGCTTAGATGAACCATTAATGGAAGCAATACGTAAAGCTGGTTATATACAACCGACACCAATTCAAGCACAAGCTGTTCCATTAATTTTAGCTGGACGTGATGTAATTGGAATTGGAAAAACTGGTAGCGGTAAAACTGCCGCTTTCTTATGGCCACTTATTATTCATATTATGGATCAAGTAAGTGTAAAATCAACTTCAGATAATTTTTCTCTTTATTTTATATTATTAATTAACTTCAACAATAAATAAGCAATATCTTTTCGTAAAACAGAATCTCCCTAAACAGAATATCTTATACTAAATATAATGATAATGCAGAAGAAGTTCAATTTGTAGAATACAATAAGAATAGTCTTTTTTAATTAAGAAAGTTTATCTTATTTCTATGAAAAGTGTAATTGAATATATTCGACTTCAGAGACTCCACCACAAACTGACACATTCCGTTCACAACTGACTGATCACTGTGTAATGACCAATGTTATACATGTTCATTTCTTAGTGCCAATCGAATTCTATCGATCAAGTGACCAATCAACTGTAAATACACCTCACTCCTACAAGAGGTCAGTCGAGGCCCAAATAGCTGCATAGCATCGTCTCTGACAATGTGGTTAGTTGACACGAGATCGAATCCACCAGGAAGCATCGGTTTCTGCGTCGATGAGTGTCAGATAGTACGAAACCTAAGTCCAGAGTTTCTTGTCGACTACCACCAACCACCGCCTTACATCTGACACATTTAATTCCGTACATTCATTTACAGTGTGAAGGTTTATCTGGCTCTAAATTTATTAAAAAAATGCAATTACTTTATACCCTTTTTTGTACGAACTAATTCTTTCTCCCTGTATCATATCCTTATATGAAATCTTTTTTTTACTACCATTGAAGTAACTACTTCTATGAATTTGGTGTTGATGTTGTTGTGCTAATGAGGTATGGCAACTTGGACCGATGGATATATGTGCCTGATCCTATGTTGTGACTGACTGACTTGAGTATAAACCTCACTGTGTGAGAGAGCTAGCGTTTACTATCCGATTGCCCAAACTGAAGTAGTTGACGCGATGTTCCAGCTGTGAGTGTATACACAATCTGTCTAATAAGTAGGACACGCTCCTAGTTTGTTTGTCATTTTTGAATCAATGAGATCGTGTACACCATTCACTAATTATTCTTATTTTTTAACACATTAAGCGACTACATTTTCATGTACTGGAATGCTGATATTAAAGTACATAGGTGAATCGGGTGCTGATGGTCTATATCTTTAACTGATAAGCTATCGTTATAAAATTGAAATCTAATAACCAAATAAAAGATGGTTTACTAGGCTCTGAATTGTATAATTTATGTAAGGGTCTCAATATTACTCCTGGATGTTCAAAACACTATGGATTGAACGGGGTTTGTACTGAAAATCTAGTGGATGGATGTTAAACACTCCATTGTCTTAATTTTGCTGCAACACAAACCGTTTTCTGTCTTTTTCCAAAGTCTCACATGCACGACATAAACTCAGTGAATAAGATATTCCTGAGTTCTAAGCACACAATTGTATTTAAACATTCCCAAGAACACTCTGGAGCATTTACTCCCATAATGATTGTATATATCTTTCTTTAGGCATATACCATTGTTACTTACAGATAATGTAACGCATTAAACTTTCATTTGTATTAATGTCTAGAAGATCCAAACATTGTAATATGCATGTTTGTTGGATTACTGATCCCAATTCATACTACATCGTTCTTTCTCCAGAACATTTATCAGGCATCAAACTAAACCTATCACGTAATAAACAGCATTACTACTCAGCTTCTCAGAACTTTTCAAAGGTAGTGTCAATCGATCTGTAGCTCACCTGGTCAAAAGTTGGTTGCCTTGACAAATAAGTCACTTTCATAAATTGCACATTAATGTCACATGCCTAAATATATGATTGGCCAAGAATACCTCCTAGAGTTTCTTGCGTTTTATTTAGTGCTCATAAGACGACCTTGTAATCAGTCTCCCAAATTGTTGGTAGACGAAACGCGCATTCTGGATTCTACTGCTAGCCACCATCTATGTCCTTACACCTGGGACAATCCACGCAGGATGCAAATATACCAAAAGAGACTGGTTAGTTACAGTTGTAAACGTCAGTGGGAAGATTCAGATAACCAATACAAATGTTACTAAAGTTTATTGATTCATTCTTTTGTATCCTTTAGCTACTGTTTGAAATTTCGTAGAACTGATTTACTTACTGGTAAAGTTTTACAAGCCAAACATCTTATTTGATTCAACTTTCACCAATTTAAGACGAGTTTAGAAATTCATCTGTTGTAGGTAATTAAATCCTACAGTGAGTGTCAAGTCTAATTTTCCAATTTTTTGATATACATTAGGACAATTTTGTTTACATTAGTTTTGATAAATAAATATTTATATATATTTATGTATGTTTGTATAAATATAGCCGGAATTAAAACTGGGAGATGGTCCTATCGGTGTGATATGTGCACCGACAAGAGAATTAGCATTACAAATCTATAGTGAAGCTAAAAAATTAGCTAAAGTATATAATTTAACCGTTGTCTGTGCCTATGGTGGTGGAAGTTTGTGGGAACAACAAAAAGCTTGTGAAGCTGGATGTGAAATTCTAGTTTGCACACCGGTGAGTTATTATATAGATATATGGTATTTGTGATGGGGTTGTTGTAACTTATGGTTTCTCTAGTTACTTGTTTATTTTTTCAGTCGATTTGCTGTACATGTTCCGTAGAATGATATACATTAGTCATTAGTAAGATCAACACTCGCTTATGTTGTGCGAAAACAATTTGTTTTAACCTTGAATCTGTCTTTTTTTAAAAAAAATCTTTAGTCAACTCAAAGGTGTATGATGGTGTAACAATTTCACATTATTTTCTTATTTTATGCATTATTATTCGTCCCATTTTATGGATATGAAACATGTACATTAAGAATCGAAGATATTCGTAGGTTACTAGTATCCGATCATAGGTGTCTTGGTAGCATTGTTCATGTGTTTTGAGACCACGGAGTAACCATTTTCTGGGTTGGGAATAGCGTACTAGGTAAGGATGTCAAATCGACTGATGAAATTGTAAATCTTCAAAAGAAGTGGTTGAGATATGTGTTGTGGATGCCCAACTACCATCTAATATGATGGGCGATGCTGTATGGTGTAGGAGTAGCTTGAAAAGAAGGCTAGGGTTGGCCAAACCAAAACACAGCATCAGTTCATGAAATCATTGACAATTAGATTGAAACATATTAATTTTTTTAATATTTTTTCATCATTAAAGAGATTATGTACAATTCCAGTTTAACCGTTAATACTACTATCGGTAAATAACTTCGACTCAGAAACATCTAGAAAAAATGAAGGATCATGTATCACGTTTTTGTTTGATTAATTACCTATACTGTTACCATATTTAGTGTGTTTGCAGAAAGTTCCAAAAGTTCACGGTCGGTTGCAAATCTCAAAACAACCTCGATTTTCTGTACATAAACTAATTTTGGAGGGAAGCACTTACTTATATTTTGTGCCCTCTCTCTATTGTTCAAGTTGATGTGCAGTAGTTTATAGTTATAGGAAGCAGTTAGGAAGGTAATAATAAACCTTCCAGTAGCAGACTTATCAAAATGTGAGATGTTATCGATTATACTTTTATCATCTATCCTAATAATAAAGAATCATATCAAACAAGCTTCTTAATTATCAGAAGGGGTTTGTGGAGATTTTAGAAATTTTCAGAGATTGAAATCATGAGTCAGTTGAAGCTAGACCACCATTGAAAACCTGGAGGCACTGGACGGTCGTTTCGTCCTAGCATGGGACTCCTTAGCAGTGCGCATCCACGATCCCGCACCCCTGGAGTTCTAGTGGGAAGCCGTTACCAGTGGAGTTCAACCAGGTCTGTTGTGAGATATCAGCTCACTGAAGACAATGGTATATGGTGGCGCAACTTCGTAGATTGGTTGAAGTTAGACATTAACACCATTGGATGCCGGCTCAGTGGTCTAAAGCTCCTTAATTGTTTGAATTTATGTCCAGAGATTTTGGACATTTCCTCGTTCATTTATTTGTAGAGTCTTGTAAATTCAAGTATAATTTCTACTAAAAAATCTATGTCAAGCCTTAAAGTTCACTATGTTTATGTTTTTCATCTGGAATGCTAATTTGTGCTAGATTGATATGTATATATTACTACCATCGAAGTAACTGGTTCTGTTGTGATTTTATGTCCTTTTTATCACGTCACTTATCCACCAATCAAAATACGACTTATACAATATTATCACTATGCCAAACCAATGACGTACGACCGGTATGAGCAACCCAGCGTCTTTATTGGTCCTATATCCACCTAGCCCGTCCCCTTGAGTCCAAAACACAATACCAGCTTCTGCAATATGAATCATTATATTTCAACCATACTTGGTTTATATGTCAACCAGACAAACCACAAGTACTATAAAATAGAAAATAACATTCGTACAATATTTGGCCAAATGTGGCTGTGAACGTGGGAGACAGTAATCAATAAACTGAACATAGCTTGAGAACCGTAATTCGTACATTAATAAATTATAGGTCAAAATAAAGCTTATAATGAGAGGAATATAAATATACATAATCTAATTGTCGAATAGTTATACCATAAGAATAGATAGATAATATTAGTCAATTAATGTGTCTCAGAAGTTACTCGTGATTTAATCTTCACTCGGATATAACTAGTTCTATGAATTTGGTGTTCATTTTGTTGTACTAATCAACTATGGCAATTTGGACCGATGCATATATGTACCTGTTCCTACGTTGTAGATGACTGAGTGGATAGTTGAGCATACTTTAATAATTAATGAAGAATAAACTAATATATAAGGTTTATCAATCAAATGAACTAATAAGTAATATAATTCACTTGATATTGTTTTATTTGAATCTTCCCATTGATGTTTTGGGACTGAAGTTGATCAGTCTCTTATTGGCATATGTGCATACTGTGCGTATGCCTCGATATTGCCTTAATTTACAAGCATTATAAGCAGAGATGGATAGTGGGTAGCAGTGGAATCCAGGACGCGCGTTTCGTCCTGTTTAGGACTCGTCAGCTGAATGTACCTGCATCTCAGAGTTGATGTTCACTCTGGGACTCGAACTCAGTACCGTTCGCTTCAAACGCCATCACGTTATCCACTTAGCTACTGAGTCCTGATAGCCACTTGCTTGTGCAATGGGGTGAAGTTTAATTCACTTGATATTGTTTTATTTGAATCTTCCCATTGATGATGACGAAACGCGCGTCCTGGATTCCACTGCTAGCCACTATCCATCTCTGCTTATAATAAGTAGTAGTCTAACCTGTAACCTGTATAAGAAGACACTTATTAAAGATTATATCTGTTTCCTTTTCCCAGTTGTTCATTCTTATATTTCTTTTTTTCTCTACTGTTTTTACACTGTTTTAGGGTAGATTAATTGATATTGTAAAAAAGAAGTCAACTAATTTACGTCGAGTTACATATCTTGTATTTGATGAAGCTGATAAAATGTTCAATTTAGGATTTGGTAAATTTATTTTCTAAGTGTATGTATATCATGTGTGTGTACATACGTCTGTTGTATTTGATCTGTTCATATGTTGTGTCTGTATTTTTGTTTTCTTTTGATTCATTCACAACTTGTTTTACTTTATGAGCTTGTAAAGTGTAACTATTAAAGATAGAAAATTTTCATAGGTTATACTGTTATATAATCCATTAATGTGCTTACGAAGCATATGGCTCTTGTGAATTATGATATGTGATTCGATGCAGAGTACTAGATAAATCACTCGATAAGATTGTGCAAGTTTACCTAATGAGGTAATTGGGACATACATTATGTATTGCCAAATACCACTTACCTTTACGTGTAATTTTGATTAAAAGAAAACTGAGAGATCGAGCAAATCAAAACATACATTGTTCAATAAAGTCAGTAATTATTTGACTGAATCATGTTAGTAGACTCAAATTAGTCGATTGAGGTCCATGCGATCATTGTAACCAGTAGTTGACGATGTTGAGTAATATGGCTTATAATTAGTCGTAATGATATAATTGTTACACGTATCATTATTATTCCATATTATCATGAATCAATTAGAATTGGAAATGTCAACTAATTGATTTTCAACACTTGATAGTCTAAATTCTAGTTCTATATCACCTAGTAAAATACTGAAGGTCTTGAGTATGTTGACGCTCATATCCACTATTAATGAATCTTAAATAACTATCTGATTTTCAACGACTCATTAACTCTATTCGATAGATTATGACAAATTATTTTTTATAAAAATTATACCGAATATTATTGTTTATTTATTTGTTTACTATTACTATTATTCAAATTTAGAACCTCAGGTTCGTTCAATCGCCAATCATGTAAGACCTGATCGACAAAGTAAGTCCTCTTTTCTGTTATTTAACCATATGCAAGCCTTCATCGACATGTGTGTTATACATAACTCAGTCACTGAACGATATCCCAATGTACTGTAGAGTCTAATATGGGGAGATTAGAAATACGATTAGGCTTGGTCAAATCAAGATTATACTATGATATCAGGTCATTGAATTTTAGACTGAACTTTATTCAAGGAGTTAAATTTTCTGATTGGGTTAATTGAATTGATCTATGTATTTGTTGTTTTAAATTCTAAGTACCTTAGATGGATGTCAGCAATTTTTGTAGTCAGATTCAAAGTTGGCCTAAAGTTCTAGGTGTTTTTTACAATCCCAAGTCACTATTGTATATTGAAATGTAAAAAATGTATAGAAAACAGTTTTTTGGATTGTATTGTTCAACCAAATCAATATTATAGTCTGATTTATTTCTCTGTTACATGTTGTAATAACACTAAGAAACAAGTACTAAGTTAACCAGTAGTAAAAATGTGTTATATTATGTAATATTATGGATGTGCAGTTAACAAGAAGCACTGAAATTTATTTATCGAGTGGACTACACCTTTGAATTTTGCCCGTGTATCAGTTTATGACATGAACCCGTAGTACGAAAGATACGTGTATCATAAGACTGGGTCTGCCGGTCTATCACCATTCCCCAGTTAGGGTCCTAAAAGTTGTGGCTTGAAATGTCACCAAGCATTAGTCAGAATAAGAAACCAGTGAAGATTATGCTGTAATTTTCTGTTATATTATGAAGATGAGAAGAAACTATGGAACTAGAAGTCCTATGTGGTGGTCAGTCAGTCGTTCATAAGCAACCAACTGTTGTGTGGATCAATACGATTTCAAACCTATGAGTCTCATCCTTCATAGATATATCTTGCTATTTATTCTTACCTGATGTGTTTTCCGATTGTTGCAAGGTTAGATATTTAAAAATAAAGGAGTGGCGACTTTAGGATAACGTCAGTCAACAACCGAGCACAGTTTAGTGCAATAAACAAGCATAGATCCATGTGTTAGTTGGCTAGATGTATTTGACAAGAAACCCAGGACCTAGGTTTCGTGCTGTTCAACACTCATCAATAATATGTACTTTTAGTCTTTAGGGAACTGATGCTTCCTGTACGATCCGATTCCATGCCACACTGTTTCACAGTCAAAGATGTTACCACTGAACTATTCAGGCTACAACCGACTTCATCTAAACAACTAGGATAAAAAAAATACTACAAGCAGTGTCTGGTCACTAAAATTAATTTTCACATCACCACCTGATCAGTAGGATTCGATCAACACTAAGGAATATGCAAACATGAAATTGGTCACTCATATATTATGATTGGTCAATGCATAAATTTCTGTGTTCGGCTTTCAACCACAGTCTAGGTATGACTGCTAATAGTAATACTACTACTACCCAGCTTCTATAAATCAAAGTAGGTGGAACGGCATTGGAACTTGCAACCCTAAGTGTTTGAAATGATGAATCCCATTCACTAGAAAATAACCATCTGATTTGATTGTAAATATACCTTCCTGTCATTAATATAGTAGTATATCATTCACTATTCGATCTCTTAAAATACTTATTCTTTAAGTAAATAGAATATACATAAATTCAAACCAATTTTTAGCTCTTCTCTTCAGTGCCACATTTAAACGTCGACTTGAACGATTGGCCAGAGATATTCTACTTGATCCTGTTCGTATTATACAAGGTGAATTAGGCGAGGTAAGTGTTAACGTCCATGCTCACATATACTCATCTTAGCAGAAATACACATTTTACATCTACAATTCATATTTTTTCTGGAAATTATCTTGTAAATTTGATTTTTTAAAAATCTTAATCTTACTCGGTTGTTTATTTACACTGTTGATCAACTTGAGTAACTAATGTACATTTTTATTCCCACGTATTTAAATCCGAGTCTCCAGGCATCTTAGTAATGATACAGAGCACAAGAAACTTACAATCCTAGAATAAAAAGGAATTCTAAAGACAAATAATTAACATATGTATTATGTAGTTGCAAACCTGTCATGGCTTTGTTCTTCAGAACCAGTTATACTTACGCCTGTTACCCCTCGTGAGGGAGCTCTTCTAGGGTTACTACCGGTTCCATGCCCGTGTGAAGGAGGACGGTTGGGTATGGGTTCAGTAAACCTATCCCTTAGAAAACATCCGTGCTAAAAACACTAAATAGGATAAACCATTTAAACTCTGTCCTTCTAGTTGGAGGATCTTCATTCAGAAGAATTATGATATCGCATGGTGAAAATCGAGATTCTTTGAAAGAACCAGTTATAGAGATAGAAAATTCATTACACAAACCGTCAGAATTAAAATCATCAATCTTCTCGTAAAACAAAGGTTAAAAATGAAGGGTCAGTCATATCATAATTTCAATGTGAAGAAATAAACAAATCACGTATAGAGATTTCATGTAGTAAATATATCAAAATGAAGTTAAGGGAAATAATATCTTCTTCCTCTTCTACCGACGAACTTCATCAACGAGATGACAAATGAATCTGTTGTAAAAATGTTCATCTTTTACAAACGAACTACTCTCATCCTCCAATATTTGGTTTTCTTTACTGTCATCACTATCAAAATTCTTTCAGGTTATAACGACATAGGGTTTGTATTTAGAGGGAAAAGGACAGCCAGCAATTATTTCTGTTTGAACATGTAAATCAGGTTTCTGAGGCCTAGTACCAATGGCTTCAAGAAACTGGAGCTTGATTGTTTTCTAATCGATCTGATGTCCTGTGTCCAAGAGATATCTCTATAGGGTATTGAACTATTAAAAATATTCTTTTTTTTTACTGAAGACCTTCTGAAATATGGTCAAAGACTTAAAATAAGTCATCCCTCATCCTCAACCAGTGTAACCGTTTGGGCAGGTATACATACACCTATTGTCATTAATTGAAATGTCCCAAAACTGTAGACATGAATACTGTTCAATGCGTATTTGTTTTTAGGCTAATGAAGACATAACTCAGCATGTTGAGATTTTCGATAAAATCGAACAGAAATGGGATTGGTTAACACGCAATTTAGTCAGATTAACCACTGGCAAGTAATCATTTTTAAAGTGTGAAAAAAAGTTTTGTTGTTAAGTTGTTTTCTGTTTTCTTAAGGTTTATTGCAATAACAGTATTAATCATTTATGTTTTGTTGATGAATTGGTTGGGAGGAATGTGTGTTGCATGGTTACTGTCTAAGCACCATCAACAAGCAATAGTGTCTCCTGCCTAAGAGGTTGGAAATAGAGACCAACGGCAGCCGATGACCATGGCATTGCATCAGCCGACAAAGTTGGTTTCATTTGTCTTGTGAGGTGTAAATCTCCACTCCTGGTTAGCATCAGCGCGATTATCGTAATCTATAGTTGAATTTCCAATGTAATACAATTCAAAATCACAGAGACTAAAACGTATTTACCTTACTTTTTGATCTTGCTTCATTATTATCAAAGTCAAATGTTAATACATTTTAGAGTGATTCAGAGTCCAATAATTTATATACTTTGTATCATTTTTTCCCTCCGAAACCTACATCTTATCATTGTGTTACCTGTAATCTTACCAAATTTGATTTTTATTTCACTTTTTCTCTCTAGAGGGAAGTGTACTTATTTTTGTGACACGTAAAGTTCACAGTGAAGAGGTTGCACAAAAGTTGAAGTCACGTGATTTAAAGGTTCTTCTCATCCATGGAGATATGCATCAATCCGACCGTAATACTGTGATACAAGCATTCAAACGGCAAGAAGCTCCTATCTTAGTGGCTACCGATGTTGCATGTAAGTCCCAGCTGGGTATACAAACAAAAATAAACAGTACATTTCTATTTATAGCGATGACAGTGAGATAGCGACAAACAGTCATAAAAATGTAAATCTTAAGTAGTTTTTTCCCCTGAAAATGAATGACAAGTTAGTATAAAAATATGGAATAGCAGATTTTATGCTTTGATTATCTTCAGAATGTCCATTTAATCCTACTTAGCATTCGCTAACTGTATGCATATGCGTCCCAGTGTAAGTGTTCATACTAAGACTTTAAACTCAACGCATCTATAGTTTCAAGCGTCATGTGATAAGACCGTCAATCAAAATCCGGATCGGTATGACATAGTATCTCTGAGTTGACCAATTACACATCCAACCAGCACTATTAACTTTGATCCAACTGCCAAGTCTTTATTGGTTCCCGATTCTGTGGCTCCTTTTCCCGTTAAATCCGAAACACAGTAATCAGCCCCCACCATATGAATATTATATTTCAAACATACGTAGTTTATGTATAAACATACCCGACCACATCAAAGCAAAAAAGAAAAACAATAAATATAAAAGATCAAGCCAAAAAGTGACTGTGAGTAGAACAGTCTATGAATAGTAAACTGGCAGCAGCTTACGATTAGTAAACCATACAACAGTAGTTAATAGGTCAATCGAAAGCCTTTAATAGAATATATTAATAATTTAGTTAATGAATTCACTTGGTGTTGTTTTACTTATATCTTCTCATTGTTATTTAGGACTGCAATTAATCAGTCTCGTGTTGGCATATGTGCATTCTGTGCGAATTGCCTCGATATAGCCTTAAGTTACAAGCTTTTTAAGCAAAGATGGATAATGGCTAGCAGGCAGGCTATCAGATCTCAGTAGCTAAGTGGATAACGCGATGGCGTTTGAAGCGAACGGTACTGGGTTCGAGTCCAGTAGTGAACATCAACTCTGTGATGCATGTACATCCATCTGATGAGTCCCGAATAGGACGAAACGCGCGTCCTGGATTCCACTGCTAACCGCTATCCAATTTAGTTGAGAATTATACAATCATCCATAAATTAGTTCTGGAAGTTATCATTCAACTTGTTTGTGTATTTCCCCATTGTTAATTGTGAGAAATGAATTTCGATCAGTCTTTATTGCTATAGGTAATAACGAAACGTATCCACTTCCGAATAGCTCATATGTCAGTCATATATATCAACGGAAATACTGATCAAATACAATCTTAAATTATTACTAACAAATAATAGAAACCTATACAAATGAAAATAAATTACTTTTAAATAACCACTAAATTAGTAGGGGTGTAGTGAACGAGAACACCAGTGGGTGCAATTGAATACAAAATTACAGGATATCTTACTAAAATCTGAGAACCATACAGTAAATACTTAATTTGTGAAATATCAATCAATTGTCTCAAACTTGACTGCTCCTTTAGCACATATCAGTCAAACGTCTCAAACTTCACTGTTCCTGTATTTCTATACCAATTGATTTTTGTTCTCGTTCTGCCCTTCTTAACCTTCGGCTGCCAGACATTCTATTGCTGACTAGTGTTATATACTACTTATGTCGATATAAGTAGCACACGCCACAGGAGTATATGTTCGATGATTTTCAAATAAAGTCTACTTCTCTATAAATTTGTAATTATAATTAATACGACTGTAGATAACTTAGTGATTGTTACGTCTTATTTATTTGAACACAAATACTGGCACAAGGGAGCACCAGATACATATGCGCCACACAAATCAAATGAGATTTGTGTGAGCGCTGTGATACTGCTCGGGTGCCTAGACCGAAACAGGTTTCCTCCTTAGAGGGCTACACCCCGAGCCTTCAACATAAGAGTCTAATCCACAAGGCAATGGAGCAAGGTAAGGAGATGCAGTCCCATGGTGGCCAGTGACCAACGATTGGTTCATATATCATTTGTTCCCTCAGGGTACTGGAGCCTATATGCACCAGTGGTTTGGAATCAGGGTTTTTCAACTCCCCTAGGTGAACCCTCTATGTTCACAAACCTGGTTGAAGCTCCAGACATTCACTTTTCATCCTCTCGATTTCGTAAACAACAGTAGTGCCACGAGAAGGTAGTGAGTAGGACTTCCCTGTTAGAGGCTATATACGCGTGGCCATGTGAGAGCATTTCGAGAGGGAGAGCGGACTCTCCTTACTCTCGGCCGTACCAGGGCATTTTGGGGGCGACTGTTACTTTAGAATGATGATAATATTTAATTAAACAATACAAAAGATAATATCAATTTAAATGTTTACTCATTTATTAAGTGTATCAGATAAATAAAATTACCCTCTTATTTTACCATAGATAACATTAACGAGTTGTTACTTTAAAATGTTTTCCGATCCTATTTTTCTTCACTCCACTTCATTTTTTTCCTAATAGCACGTGGTTTGGATATACCTAGTATACATAATGTAATCAATTATGAAGTTGCACGAGATATTGACACACATACTCATCGAATTGGTAGAACTGGTCGTGCAGGGGCAAAAGGAACAGCTTATACATTATTTGTTGCTGGAAAAGATCCAGTTGATTTCGCAGCGTGTTTAGTTCAACATTTAGAATCCGGTTCACAAACAGTTCCACAAAGACTTCTTGATATCGCTCTAAAGTGTACTTGGTTTGCAAATAATCGATCTTCACTTAACAGTGGAAACGGCGGTTGTATTAGACCAAGTGGTGGATTTGAACCTCGACAACCTCGTGCCAGACCAGGATTAGGTTTATCATCCGATAGCAGTGAATCAAATTATTGTCCACGTAGTGGTCCGGCAGCTGCAGCAGCGGCAGGTGAAGGAGCTGAATTAATTCGTCCAGGTGGTAAGTTATACTTTTTTTAGGTCAAATTTATTCACTATACTCTCAGTGTTCTGTAATCAGCAATTTTAGCCATTTTCTCATTCATTTAGTAGGTGAATGTTGCATATTGGAGTGTATTTTTCACTAAATATTTCAAGTCCCTAGAAATATCCGCTATGAACATATCATGTGAAAATACCAGTGAAAGTAAGGATTTGAAATGAAATCTCTACTAATAATCACACTGTAATATGCAGCATTCACTCACCACTGAATGAACGGAGTAATGATCAAAACTGTTGAATACAACAGACCTACTGAGCACTTGAAACGCTTATGACAAACTCAACCATCTATTATAACCATCAATTATAATATATTATGTGGTGTCTGAGTCTGATATTGAAAAGCAATCTTCCTACACACGAGCCCATCGAGTGAAAAGGCTAATATTGATAAAGGAAGTGTTTTGGCTACATTGAATTGGCATGTATAGCATACTCATTTTTATGTATATCCAGGGATTAAGCTACCAAACGTATATGTTTCTTTCTTAAGAAATGTAAGTCATTTGTTGGTCATTATCATTTGGCCGATTTCCGATTGACCTAATCTGTTAATCTACACGCATGTATTTATACTCAATAATTGTATGAGACTAGTAAAATGATACCAAGTTGCTACACAAATGGCGGCGAAATGTCCGTCTTACTTATTATTATAGGTTATACAGCATTCCAATTCATTTCACTTTATAGCCTTTAAACATGACCTCAGAAAATAGAAGACAGTCGTATGCTCCTAATACTCGTCAACCATAGATATGTTTAAAGTATTACTCGTTTATTATGGTGGAACAGCTTAGTGAACATTGTTCAATATGGTACTAGGTGAAAATTACAAGTCGATAGACGTCTCCAAATAATTGTTTATCTTGCTCCAGAATAGTGAGCACAAATATCAGTTATTTCATACTTTTTATATCTGTATTTCATTGCCTTCCCTTCGAAACAACATGCTCTTCGGTGTTCAGTTTGTCTTGCTACTTTCGCTTTGACCTTATTTACTGTTCATCTTTCTGATTTCATCCCGCTGTGATTGGTTTTGTGTGTATGACAAATTACACCGATGGACATTGTACTAGATCTTATGTCCATTATGATTGGCAGACTGACTTGGAAAAAACTCAACTGACAAAATTGAACTGGAAGTTTGTATCTTAGTTCGATCAAAATTAAGATTTAAGTTTACTCGTTTTCTTTTTACTGACAAGTTATTGTGAAATTGAAAAAAAAACCCAGTTATTATCGATTTCATTCACCGTAGGTTTACAAGCAGATCGATTTTCTGCCATGAAAGCAGCGTTTTCAGCTCAATATAATCGAAGATTTGTATCGGCTGGTGTCGAAGCTAGTAGATATACACATCCAGAAATGTTGAAATCATCAAATACAACTGATAGACCTCAACTTGCAGACAGTTTTATTGTTCAAAGTAATAACCCAGAAGAATCCCAGTGTCCGCAACAACTTCGATCATCTCCAGTTGCACCACAAAATGTACAAACGGATTCTAAGCAAAAACGTTCGAGATGGGATTAAATGATATTTGTGTAAAGACGTTTTCCAATTCTAAACGCATTTTTTTCATTGTTACTTCACAGCTTGTAACTTTCATACATACGTATATATATACACACACAACGCAATAAAAGTTTTAATCATTTGATCTAATCGATAATTGGTTGTAAACAGGGGAAGGCTATTATTAATTAGAAATGCGTTAAACAAACCTATCTACCGTAGATTGGCTACAATGCGCATCTGTTAACCAGTTGGCTATCGATTAGAAACTCACGCCTCTACCTACCTATTTCAGTTTGAACTGTTTGATACTTTGATCATCACAATATGTGCACGGCTCGAGACGGAGTACTTAAAACTTGTATTTACTAAATGAGATACATATTTCATTAAAGAATTATTTGAATGTTTAACATTGATGTCAGATGGTTGGAGTTAGTCGGTAGGAAACCACGTATGATCTAGATTTCATGCTAGTTGGTACACATCAGCAATACATACCTGTAATCTTGAAGGAACTGATGTTCCCTGACGGGTTTGAACGTGGATCACCAGGCTCTACAGTCGGAACTTTTTTTTTCATGAAGCTTATTCGAACCTCACCTGACCTTCTGTGGGCTGAATATTTACATTAATTAATCACTGAGTAGCAACCAATTTTATGATTGTTCATGCTTTAGTGGTAATTGTATTGAATATGTTATTCACTGAATCCCCCAAGATTCCCTGATACGGCCGAGAGTGGGGAGGGCCCGCCCACTTCTCGAAATGCTTTCGCACGGTCACGTGTATACAAACTCTGTCAGGGAAGTCCTACTCACTGCCTTCTCGTGGCGGGGTGTTGTTTACGAAATGGAGGGTTCACCTAGGGGAGTTAGGAAACTGTAGTGGCTGTACTTTGTTGACCAATCATCCTCGTAACCGTTATCATATAATCCTCAACGGTGTTTGCAATCAGAAAGCAAAGAGAAGCAGCGACTACAGTTTTACTAGCAGATAAATCAGACCACAAAGCAGAGGCAAATGAATGAGTCAGCAAACCGAGAGTGTAGTATTAAATGTACATGTATATATATATAAGGAAATGAATGGATCATCGAATCAATTAAGCAGCTAATAATAAAACTAGCAGGATGAATATATGCGTAGGCGGTAAGCAATGTTCAAGCATACATATTTCATACAAGCACAACAATAATAAAGGTACAATAAGTTGTTATAGTACGAATGACTCTGTTCGCTAAATAAGTTAACAAAAAGGGCTTAACTGAGTTAAATGAGAACAAACTCAATTGCACGTGAGTTGCTATAAAACCCTGATTCCAAACCGATGCTCCACATGGGCTCCAGTACCCCGAGGGAACAAATGGCGTATGGACCAACCGTTTGTCACCGACTACCATAGAACTACATCTCCGTACGTTGCTCCACTGCCTTGTGGATTATACCTTTATGTTGAAGGCTCTGGGTGTGGCCCCTTAAGAAAACCACCTGTCTCGGTCTGGGCACCTAGGTAGTATCACAGCCCACACACAAATAAAATGAATAAAAAAAGTGAACAAACTTTGAATCTGTTTTTAAAAAAATTATAATTAGTAGTAATCAAGTAGTATACAGGTTCTGTTTGAATGTTGTTGTCAGGAGTAATTTAATCACAAAAAACCGTTTCATATTTTTACATCAAAGAAAAAAAAACGACATCAGTTGTTAATCTTGGAATTTGGTTCCAATTTAGAATTAACAACATCATAGTGGAAAGAAGAGAAGAAAATTGCATGTTCTTTTATCTTTGTGTAAAAATGTAATAAGGCTAGTGTGTGTGTGTGTGTATGTATGTGATGAACTCAGTAAGTGTTACTTTCTGATCTTAGTGAGTTCTTATGTGTTGGATAGACATTTAACGTCATCCACCAGTTGAACAAAATCGTGAAGTTGGCCTGTAAGTTGTCCCAGTATCACCCATTAAAGGATTGTAATCTGTTACATTGGAGAAATAAAAAGTGATGCGTAACTTATTGTTAATGATGTTGGTACTTCTTTTTTATTTTGTTTAAAAAGCAAACAAACATTTGTATGATTTTAACGCAGTTCGTAAATAAACTAATAAGATAGGGTGCTAATTAAAAATAAAAAAAGACACCTCAGATTGTAATTATGTAGTCGTTTGCAATTCATTTGATAATGGATAAATAGTTCCAAAATAGTCAAGATTTTGAGAATAAATTCACTCTTTTAAAAGTAAACTATTTTTGTTCATTATGAATCTTAATCTTAGATGTGCACCCTTAATGAACCTTCAATTAGTACAACAAAATAACTTTGTTCCTAGCTTTTCTCATTCTACTCCTGGTCTTGATAATATCCGGTTCACAATTTTTAAGCATATAAACCAGTTAATTTGAATAAGTTTCTAGATATTGATGGTACATGATACACAATTACGTGCTGCATCTTCCCGAAAAGCACATTGGCGCAAAAACTAACTTACAGATCATGTGTATTTTATGCTTGCCTACTCACTGCTTTCTCATGGCACTAGTTGTTTACGAAATCGAGAGGACGAAAAGTGAATGTCTGGAGCTTCAACCGGGTCGGTGAACATGGAGAGTTCACTTAGGGGATTTGAAAAACCCTGATTCCAAACCAACGCTTCACATGGGCTCCAGTATCCTGAAGGAACAGATGGCGTATGAACCAATCGTTGGTCATCGGCTACCATGAGACTGCATCTCATTACGATGCTCCATTGTTTTGTGGATCAGACCTTTGGGTCGAGGGCTCCAGATATGGCCCCCTAAGAAAACCTGTTTCGGTCTGGGTAGCCGAGCAGTATCACAGCCCTCACACATAACAAATGAGATTTGTGTGGCGCATATGTATTTGGTGCCTCCTTGTACCAATATCTGTGTTAAAATAAATAAATATGCTTGCCAACAGTTTTCGAGTACCTAAGTCAACGTAGACAGTAGTCACGTTGAACCACTTGGACTGGATTTCATTTGCTTTAAAAAGCCTTGAATAAATCAACGTACATGGACATGGATTCTGTATCTTTTATTATATGTAAGGACTTCTGTTACTACCTACAATCGAATGGACATCCCGTAAGATCATAGTATCTTTGGATTAAATAGGCAAGTATTAGTAGTAGCGATAGCTTGAAGTCGTAATTTTATTTCATGAAGCTTCTATTTTAAAATTAACTACCTGAAAATAAATAAAAGTTTATAGGTCATTTAAAAATGACCCTGGACTTACGTTTCCAGTTAGCTATCACTTGTCAGGAAGGCATGCTTGTAATATTAAGGTATGAGGTTTCAACTCATGTCACTCAACGTTATCCTGATACATTTGCATTAAGTTATTTAACCCGCAATTAAGCAGTAAAGAAATATATAAACATGTCACTAACTTAGCAATATATATAACTTGTGAGATGGACTTTTTATGTTGTGTCGATGAGACCGTTGTACGTTACAACAGTCCTCATATGTAGTCATTACAGTCCTATTTGTTTACCGTTTTTGCATTATTCAATTTATTTTGATCTTTTTTGATAGCTGATTAATGGTGTTTCCATCGAATCATTTCTGACACTGACACATTCCAGTTAATCATATTTCTCAATAGTGATTCAGAAAAATAGTTAATACATACTCTTTCTACATTTTACATGAACTAGGGTTGTTTTCATGATATCAATGAAAAATTAACAAAAAAGTAGAATGGATATGTATCGGTCCAAGATTTGTCACACTACCATACAGCAACACCGTGTATTTCCTTAAGATATATAAATTATGGTACAGTTGAGCTCGAAAAAAATTACGTGCCACATAGAATAAAAAGATGACATGATGCAAAGGAATAAAAATTTCAAACGAAAAATAAGTAAACAGTAATGGTACGTGGTAGGCCCCAACTGTAGCTGTTGCCTTAACGTGGTGGTTGGGCTTGCCTATCGTGATGACTCAACTGACCTACGTTCGTTGGAACATATGCTCCGTTAGATCCTAACATGCGATGGAGGACGGTAAGAACAAAAGCGATGACTTAAAATCCAAGGGAGAAATCGTACTGCTACCCGTAGGAAGTGTGACAGAAGTAAGGTGTTTACTTCAGACGATCAGCGTCTGTAGCGATGCCACTTTCTCACAATGGAGGGAATAGGTTGGGAAAGTTCAACCCTGTAAATGTTGCCCCACTACCTCCCGGAATTTCTTCTCTGGAGACAAGGCCTTTTGAAGTGCGTAGCCAACGCATCAAAAACTTCCCATAGAAAGGCCTTGCGCCACCGGCCTCAAGAAGTTGTTCCTTGGGTTCTGAAGGTCACGTTCTCAAGTCGCTAGGACCACCACCAATCCAGCTCTCTCTTGAGGTTCCTCGAGAAGAAATATTGTTCCGCAGTATGGGCGCAACCGGGAAGTGACAACCTCCTTCATACCCCTACCTTAGACTAACATAACGGAATACAGCTCAATTAAAAATACAACTCGGAAAGACTTCTTTCAGTTAAGAGAGTTCTCATATGTATGAAGAACGTAAAGGAAAACTATCGCATTATCGCTGGATTCCCTCTTGAGCCTTGTCTGACAACTTCTCAAGCAAGTGAGTTGTACCGCTTTATGACACGTAATATGTCTGGGCCAGGATAATCCTCAGTTCCCCTACTGTAACGGACAGTTTTCTCGGAGGTTTATTCATCGGGCCTTTAACCTAGAAGTTCAATGCACAAGGTCTGGTCTCGTGATCGCTGGTGACCAAAATAGATTCATAATCAATCCAGTTCCTTAGGATCTTGGAGCCATTGTACACCATTGGTTTCAAACCAGTGTTTTTTTTTAACTCCCCCAGGTAAATCTCCCATATTCACTGATTCGGCTTAGGCTTCGAACGCCCGCGTCTCACCTCAATTTCGTAAGAAACGTCTCTGCTACGTGAAGTTAGTAGAAATTCCATGTCAGGCTATAAACATGGCCAAGTGAGAGCATTCCGGGAAAGGAAACAGACTCTTCCTACACTAGACCTTATTAGGGGCTAAGTTTGGTGTCAAAAGTGAAAATTAACGAGGCGAAGAGCAAACAAATGGAAAATAAACGTTAGACGTAGTGATACAGCAAAAGATCATTAACAAGGAACATATGAGGTAGGCAAATGAAAAGTATGGTTTATGAGATCATTTTTATGTTTAGGTATTACCTCGATAAGGCTTTTATTATTATGATGTTAGGCAACACATTTTATTCTTGCAATACGTTTATTATATATTCCCAACTATGCACAGACCATATAGGATAAGATCTTACTAACTGAAATAACACTTACTAATGTATATATACACATATGAAATTACTCGTTATCTGACTTCAATTTAGTTTAACTTACCATTGAGTCTGAACCGTTTCTTTTTCTCACCAGAATGAGTACTTTCACGAACCTGCAAGATAGCATGAACTGATGATTCAATACGAATAGAATGATCAATTTGTAATTACCAACTTAATATAATTAAATAGTGGTGGAGTAATAAGTATAGCATACATGAGCATATATATAGTTTACATATCACTCGTTTGTCTTCATCTTATGGAACCATCTTCCCTGTTGAATACTGTCATTATTTATTTACTTGAACACATGAATATTGGTACAAAGGGGCACCGAATACATATGCGCCACACAAATCTCATTTGATTTGTGTGAGCGCTGTGATACTGCCTGGGTGCCCGAACCGAAACAGGTTTTCTCAAAGGGCTACACTCGAGCCTTCAACATAAAGGTCTAATCCACAAGGCAGTGGAGCAGAGTAAGGAGATGCAGTCCCACGGTAGCTGGTGACCATTAATTGGTTCATACGCCATTTGTCCCCTCGTGGTACTGGAGCCCACGTACACCAGTGGTTTGGAATCAGGGTTCTTCAACTCCCCTAAATGGACTACCCATGTTCACCAACCCGGTTAAGGCACCGGACATTTGCTTTTCGTCCTCTCAATTTCGTAAACAGTAGTGCCACGAGAAGGCAGTGAGTAGGTCTTCGCTGGCAGAAGCTATATACGCGTGGCCATATGAGAGCATTTCGAGAGGGAGAGCGGACTCTCCCCACTCTCGGCCTTACCAGGGCATTTGGGAGCCTTGTGGTACTTTTCATGATGCTTTAAGAGGATTAAGCCAAAGTGGGATTTAGTATGAATGAGTATCAATACAAGTTTCCACACTTCATAACAATAAAGTAAACAACAAGGCGAAAATAGTAAGATGAGAATTACAACAAATAGAAAAGTAAGAGTACTGTTAGTGACAGCAAGGAATGACTACCTAACAGAGAATATGATTTGACACAAAAAGAATAAATTCACTGAATGAAAATTACAAAATAATTTTGAAACCTAAGATTTAAGGAGACAACTAGTGAACACATCAGTGTTATGGTGAACGATTTTGAGCCATATTACATTTCCAACCACTAATTTTGGTAATCACGAAGAGCTCAACCAGATAGTGTACATTTACAAATGTAGCTCAGGCCAATAGGAGTTAGGAATGCCATCCAACTTAAAATTTAGAGGAACTTAGTGCATGAGTGTGGCAAGATGGATGTTACCAGTCTCGGACCATATCGTTAGAGGTAAAATACAAAATGTAGGTTTTGATCACTACTACTTATAAACTGTTTGTCGTGTTCTTATCGCTGTTAAGTCCGAAAGGCACTTGTAAAAATGTCGAGCGTTTGTTCAGATTCTTGGCCACACTTTTTATTTAATCTACAAAACCCGATGAGGATAATGGTGCCAGGTTTTGTAATTAATGGATCAAGAGCAAAAGAAGTACAGTAGTAAAATATATTTTTTACAGCTTACATTACTTTTCCCTTCTTTCTCGTCTTGATTTTTAGATTTGCACCGAGCAACCTCAGCATTGAATTCAGCTTGAAATTTCGCTCTGGCAGCTTCCATAGCTAAGCGATGTGAATCACTAACAGTTGACGAGTTTTCAGACCAAGAACGGAAGAATTTCCAAAGAAAATACGATAATGCGAAAATAAACAAAGCCACCAATCCATAATTGAAGTTCGTTTGTGGACTCGCTACAAATTCCAAACGTTTATCAGAAAATATTTTACGATTACTTTCTGGAGCAGGAAAGTCCATCCTGAGCACGGCTTTTTTGTGAGTTTATTAATTCGTCAAGGTTGTTACTAGATGATTTACAACAAGAAAACGAACCCTGAAATTGTCCGAGAAATGATTAAACATATGAATGACTTGAAATAGACTTCATGTCTAAGAAAATTTACTGTCGGTTGGGACCTCACTCGGTTTACTACAGCTTGTACAGTGTAGTAGTAATTCAAAAACGAGGACATGGAACTAATTAATCACAAAGTTGTGCTAACGATTTACCTCATCCGACACGTGTTGGCGAGGACAGAAACTAATATCTTTCAACAGATAATTAGGAAATGAGCCCCGAAGTCACAGCTAAGGGTTTTAGAACTACATATGCTTTAAGATGGACATTCACCAAGTTAGATCCTACTGCAGTATACACAACCTTAGTGATGCAAATAAATAACTATGAATCGTATCACTATACAATATGTGGATTCGTGCTACCCAAAGTAAGAAACTATTAATATTTAGGAGTCATTAAGTGGTGATCTCAAAACCACTGGTCACTGTAAGGCTGCTGCTGCGAAAGGCTATAGGGTATTATAGTTTATTCGTAGGTCTTTCCAGTATTTAGACGATGAAATGTTTAGATTATTATACCCGATTTATGTGCGACCACATTTAGAATATGGGATTCAATCAGTGAGTCCTTATTTCAAGTATGAAGCAGAGATGCTGGAAAGAGTCCAACGACGAGCTACTAAGATGGTACAAGGTCTATCTGATCTATCTTATGAAGACAGACTGAGACACCCTAACTTATTTCCGTTATCTTACCGTAGAGTATAGGGTGATCTAATATTGGCTTATTGTATACTGAATGATGACCTTGGTATTAACGTAATATCTTTTACTTCCGCCTAGGACTGATGATTTGAGAGGACATTCGAAGAAAGTTCAAAAACCGAGATCAAATCGTTTACGTTTGGAATTTCGTTTCTCGCACCGAGTAGTGGATTACTGGAATTCCCTACGGGAGCACGTAATATTATCAACTTCTGTTAATATATTGAAAACGAGATTGGACTTCCACAGTATCACCAACTGAAAGGATTAATATAGGTCGATAGACCTCCTATCCTTAATACTGCAGACTGAAAACTGTGTTCAAACCGTAACTTTGAGTCGAGACGTGATTTGCAAATATAACTTGATAGACTTCAAAGTTAATATACGTCTGTACAATTTGATAGTTGAAAAATTGGCATGGATAATTCCTGTGAGATGGATTCGTTTCCAATCAGTAAATATTCAGGGTCAAACATGCGTACGGTGAAGATAAGCATTATACTGAACGTGAAGCTGTCTAGAAAGCTTTGAGATTCACAGCAGTTTGGCTTGCGTTCTTACCTCTTCACGAAGTCATATTTTTATTGTTCGACATATGTCGAACGATATCGTTTTACTGATCATCACATTATTTTTCATTAATACCTAAGAACATGACACGAACTACAGTTAATTTTTTAAACTACGCACTAAATGTTTGTCCTAATATTAAATCTGAATAGCTTACGCTCGAACTCAGATTGGTGACCAACTTTGCTGAACAAGTTATGCCAAGTCAAAGAGCAACCTTGGGGTCAAACAGGGGACAGTGTTGTGACCTCGAGATATTAGCTTACTTTCAAATTCCAAGCTTTTTCATGTTCGTTTCAAGTGCGTAAATACGACATATAAGAAAATTCAGTATCAATTACCACTGGATCACCGAAAAAAATCAAGAATATGGGAATAAACCGGAAGTTTAGTCCTAACGTGATTTGCATTTATCAAACTTTTGCTGTGTTCTTACGCAACAAAAGTACTATTTCTGATTAAAAGAATCTATCCTGCGCTATACGTTTGGTAGATTACTTTTTTCGAGTTTCACCCAATTTAATAGTTAACTGTGGTTTCGCCTCAACTCACTATTCGTTTTTTTTTTCAGTTTTTCACGTAAAGGCTAGTTCAGTCTATCTCATCCGTTTTTATCCATTTTTGTCCGTTTTCAGTATGCTTTTTAGTGCATGTTTTACGGTATTAGGCTTTCGATAGCATCTTTAACACAGTTTACGTCAATATACTCATGAAAAATTCATGCAAACGGCCTGGATGCCGTTTCGCTGTTACATCTGGCATGCAGTGCGACAACTGCAAAGGTTGATTCCACGAAGCGTGTACAGATCTCACAGCAACTGCTTACAACAGACTCAGCAATTTGGATCATAAGTGGGTATGTGTTATGTGCAATGCGGATCCTGTAGTAGTGCTGAGTAACATCCTTGTCCTATTGACAGGTCTGCGGAGTAAGTTGTCAGCAAACTTGGGAAAAGACAGTCATAAAACGGGTTGACAAACAAGGGTGCGCATCGGAAACAAGAATAGGGATGTCGACAGGCCTAGCATTGATGGGGCATGCATTAGCACTAATGATGACATGTTGAAACTCAGCACGATCATTACGTTGACGGTATAAGACTCCCTAAGTAAACTCGGGTCTCCTAGTTCAGGATCCTTGAATTCAACAGTGGTTCCCAAAAACTCTGTAGGTGATTGGACTCACGTCAGCAGAGATAAAAAGAACCAGGCGTAACAGTCTAAGCTGAACATCTCAAGTGTTGTACGGAAATCAACTGGTGATTTGGTTGCACAGTCTACCCCCAAGAATGTCCGTCCGGTCATCAAAGAGCCTAGGATTCAGAAACGTGCTTCAACGTACAAGAAACAAGGTGCTGAACCTGAAAGCACCGGGAAACCTGGGAAAACAATAACGGTTCGTGATGACTCTCTCATAATCATGAACCTCAAAGACGACCCTGACCTTCCTCTCAGTTTGCACAACAAAAATGACAGGATGCTCTAGGGTGAATTGAACAAGAAACTTGAACTTCCAAGAATAGACCCTTTGAAGGTCACACGGCTAACTCCGGGGAAAGGAATCTAAGCATCAAAATCACCCGAGGCTACTTCGTGTAACACTTAAGAATGCTACCGATGTACGGGATGTTCTGCTAGCTAGTCATGTACTGAAATCCGATGGGAACGTAAGAATACTGCCCGACATTCCATATTCTGAGCGCAATCTCATCCGAAACATCCCTAAAGAATCTCGCGAGAAGTTTTTCCGCGGAAGAAATATAATTGTGCAGGGTGTACAGGAAAACACGGACCCTAGTGAAGCAAACTCCAATATTAAGGAATGGAAATTCATCAAACAGTCATTGAGGCTCAAAAACATACTGACTCAACATGTGACAAGACTAGCCAAGAAAGTCGGTGATTCCAGACCCCGGCTAATGAAGATAACTTTCCCATCCTCCCATATAACGGCCACAACTCTGGAGGCATTTCGTGGAAACAGACGTCGGTTGCAAGTTGAAGCTTACCATTCTTACTGCACACGCTGACAGGAGCTACAAATCATTCAGTTGCTCAAACGGTCACCCATAGCTATCAGCAACCCACAATCATCAGGAACCGCACTCTTCGCCTGCTAAGCCGCAAAAGGCACTGTTGGGCAGAGTACAAACGAACTGACAACAACGGAGCGTACAGACAATACAAACATATAAGAAACATATGCACGAAGACTATAAGAGAAGACAGTCTTCAGTACCAGATAAAGCTCATGGATAAATTTGTCTCTAATTCGAAAAGCTTATTCCGGACATTTCAACCGATCCACACCAACTATACTGATGAAAGCTTCATCTGCAGCTATAAAGGACTTTCCGAAGTGAGCCTGAGCGCCGACTTGGTTTTCTGGAAACTGCAGCACTTAAGAATAGACACTTCTGGCCAGGATATGGTTCATTCTAACATACTGAGGGAAGCAGCCTCAATCCTGGCAACGCCGCTTAGTGTGATGTTTGTACACTCGATAAGTCGAGGAAAACTACCGGAAAATTGGAAGGTGGCTCACACCACACCAATTTTCAGAGGAGGTTGACGCAGCGAAACTTCAAGTTACCGACCGGTGGCTCTTCTCTCAATACCTTCAAAAATCATTGAGTCTCTTATATGCGATGTTATAAATGACTATTTACTGTCCTTAAATTTCTTCTCACCTCAACAGCACGGTTTCAAGAAGGGTTACTCTTGTATTACCAATCTGCTGACTGCAGTGGACAGATGGACAAGCATCCTCGATCTCAAGGAGAAGGCTGATATCATTTACCTTGATTTCTCAAAAGCTTTTGATAAGCTTAACCATACATGTCTTATCACTAAGCTCAAACGATTGGGTATCAGACCACCTCTAATCGATTGGCTTACTTCATACCTAGAAAATCGACACTTTAAGGTTAGGGTTAATTTCACTTTATCTCAGGCTATGGAATGTCCGAGGGGGGTCCCCCAGGGCTCAGTAATAATAATAATAATATATTTCTGCATGTGCAGGTACACACCGTTTTTACAGGCATGATCTATAAATTACAACATTTGTTGGTTCACAAAATGTTTCCCAACTTATTAAGTTTATAGTTGTTATAAAGTGAAATCGTAGAGCGCTTGCTGTAAACTATGACCTTGAGAGGACGCGTACATCAAGTTTGTTCCAAACGTCAGGAGTTTCATAGCCGTGCTCTCAGAGCAAGATTCTGAAGAAAAAAGAGAAACAGAAGAGCAGCAAGGCACTTGGATATGAACGCAAAACGTTGCTTAACATAGTGTAGTAGAACGGACAGAGGTATAATAAATTAGAATAAATTCATATTATGTCTTGTTAGTAAAATGAAGTCAGAGGCTCCATATTAGAGAATGTACTAATAAAGAACAATGAGTTGTGATGTTTAACAAGTTACAGTAAGCTCACATGAAGGAAAGGAAGTCAAGGCTGTTACTAGGAAAGCGGTTTATAAGAAGGGTGCGTATATAGAGGGTGAAGTGTTAAGAATATTAATGACTACATCTTTTATTGTCTAACTTTTTTTTCTTTTTTTGTTTTTCCGATGCCAGCCACACAATCCTAGTGTAAAAATCCGAGTTAGCATGTTATGGGTTGTCTTAGTAGAATAGCTAATCCAGCATAATATTGGAAACATGAGTTTGAGTGGTGAGCGTAGGGAAACAATCTTTATCACAGATTGGTTGAATTGTTCTCAGTCATGAGGAGCCTGATACATACAAAATGTTCTGTCCCCACAAACATGGGTGGATTGAAGTTATCGCCCTCACCATCAATGCTTGCTGGTCAGTAACTCCACCCTCCCTCCTTTTGTGATGTTAGGCTCATTTAGCATTATTTTTGTATATACGTCATACCTCGCACAATCCTCTGTTTCACAAACTGTTGGAAAGCATTATTTCTATAAGTACCATTTTACAAGCTTATCAGACAGTTACAAGCTATGGACTGTGGGTAAAGCATCGATGCAGTGCCTCTGTTGACTATAGTATAAAGTATAGTTTGCCAATCAGAGTATAAGCGTTAAGGGTATATTGTAGGATAGTTGTTTATTTAAGCAGGCGGAAAAAGTATAGAAGTATATGAGTTGTGGATATGAGAACGAGTGGAGAAATAATATTAATTGCTAGTCAACATAGTGTACTGAAGAGTAAAAAGTTAATACAGGATAAACAGGAAGGGACTCACAGTAACTTGGTGCTGATGTTATTTTCTGTTGTCCTAACCAGTTGATTGGTAACAGGCTCCATAGATGCAAGACCACTGGTAGTAGGCAGCTGATTGTGCGGTCCTCTTGACGTTTTAGGGTGGTAGTGAGTGTCCCTTGTCGACCGAGTTTATTTTAACAGTAATGATAAGTCCATTGAGTTACCTGTCTACTTCAGGTGAAGAAATGGGGTGGAAAAAGTAATTAATACAACTGCAAAGTAGGAAAAATAAGGCAAACTGAACTTGAAGTCCATTTTGGTCTAGACATGGAGAGAGCCTATGATGTCTGAGTGGGGCGCAGATGTGTTCGTACGTGCAAGATCAGTGTTAGGGCCTCTTCTCTTCTTGATCTACATAAACGATCTTCCTCAACAGGTAACGTCAGACTTATTACTTTTTGCCGACGACGTGAAACTTTGGAGAGAGATACGCAACCAAGACGATATACAGGCACTACAGAAGGATCTGACTCGACTTCAAAGTTGGGCAGATAATAATGGACTTACCTTTAACACTTCAAAGTGTAAGGTAGTCCATCTACGACATGTTGCAGACTGTAGTTACAACTTAGGAAACTCCTCTCTAGTAGTATCCCAAGTCAGAAAAGATTTAAGAGTCCTGGTGCCTTACGATTTGAAGTCTTATGCTAACTGTGAAAATAATGCCTCCCGAGCAAACCTTACACTGGTAACATTGAAGCGCATTTTTGGCCAGTTTGACAGAAGAACTTTCCATATAATCTTCAATAGTTTTATCCGTCCCCATTTAGAGTACGGAAACATAGTATTTTCCCCCTCACTCCAAAAGGATAAGGACACTCTGGAGCGTATTCAACGGCAAGCCACGAAATCAGTTCGACGACTCAAATTTAAACCTTATGAAGAGCGCGTCCATTCACTTAACCTTTATCCATTAGAGTATAGACGTCTTAGAGGTGACCTTCTGATGGCTTATAGTATCCTTAACACTTCTGAACATCCTCTCAAACACCTACTTAAGCTTAGT